TGATGCTTCTTTAATGAAAAATCTACAACAAACAAAAGAAAAAGACAAAGAAGCAGCCGAACTAGCAATCTTCAACAACTTTTTAATTTTTACACCAGGACCTAAAGGTCTGTTTCAGGAAATCACATCCCAGCAATCGGCGTTTGTATGATTAAGTTGTACAAGGGTTCATACACCGCTAGTTGGCAGTGTTGTGTATATTGTACATGAATTGTCAGTTAGTAAGTGTCAAATTGAACTTGTGTTTTAAAATTAGCTTCCACTAGTTTTTCTATGACATAAGCGTTTTTGAAGTTGCGGACCTAAATATTTTCATAAGCGCTTTAGAAATTGCGGAGCTAATTTCTGGATTAGCACTGCCCACCACTGTTGAAAAGTCTGCGTGTCCCATCAGATCGACCTGCTCCTCCAGAACCCGTTCTGCTCATTAAATCCACCGTCGGCATGCTGCACGTGGCGTGGCGCCCCCTGGCTGCAGCCGACTGCTACATCCTCCAGCTGCAGCCCGCCTTCCCAGCCAACTCCAAACCTGAGGGGCCAACAGGACCAGAACCTGCAGGTGAGAGGATCCCATAGCTTCAGTCAGATCAGGATTTAAAGTCATTAAAGAGTTTAAATTAATATTTTAGTCTCACTACAAACATGTTCTACCTCTGCAGATATAAATTTAAACTTTAAACTCATTGCTGAAGCCTTGTCACATTGTTCAGCTGTGAAATTCACCCCCAGGTGTGCCCCCGCCCCGCCCTCAAAACCAAGAAACAGAAGAGAAGCCATCAGCTCAGGTAGCTCATTAACTGTTTTTATATTTTTTAAAACAAGAAAAAAACTGAAGATTCTGGGTTTAAAGAGGAATTTTAGAAACAATTAACCTCTTCAGCTCAAAGGGGTTGTCTTCAAACTCTAAATAATCCTGGTATGAAAATAAAGCTAACACCTGGGAGATTATTAAGGAAGAGCATTGCATTCACCTAATAAAAAAATGAGGACTCCTGATCTCATAATTACGAGATCTTACCTCAAAATTATGAGAAAAGATCTCAAAATTATGAGAAAAGATCTCAAAATTATGAGAAAAGATGTCATGATTATGAGATCAGGATCTCGTAATTATGACATCTTATCTCGTAATATGAGATCTTTTCTTGTAATTATGAGATCTTTTCTCTTAAATATGAGATCTTATCTCATAATTATGACATCTTATCTCGTAATATGACATCTTATCTCGTAATATGACATCTTATCTCGTAATTATGACATCTTATCTCGTAATATGACATCTTATCTCGTAATATGACATCTTATCTCGTAATATGACATCTTATCTCGTAATTATGACATCTTATCTCGTAATATGAGATCTGATCTCGTAATTATGAGATCTTATCTCGTAATAGATCNTATGACATCTTATCTCGTAATATGAGATCTGATCTCGTAATTATGAGATCTTATCTCGTAATAGATCTGATCTCGTAATTATGAGATCTTATCTCGTAATATGAGATCTTATCTCGTAATATGAGATCTTATCTCGTAATATGAGATCTTATCTCGTAATTATGAGATCTTATCTCGTAATAGATCTGATCTCGTAATTATGAGATCTGATCTTGTAAATATACGATAAGATATTATTATAAGATGTTTTCTCATAAATATGAGATAAGATCTCATAAATATATCTTATCTCATAATTATGAGATCTTTTCTCGTAATTATGAGATCAGGAGTCAAATATTTTTTATTAGGTGAATGCAATGCTTTTCCGTAGATTAGATCAGGAATATTAAGATTAAAGCAGCTGCTGTTGTTTCAGAGATCCCGATGATGGAACAGAAAAAAATWGATTTCTCCTCTTGCCTTAAATTTTTTTTTACATTAAACGGTATATAAGGTTTTTAAAGTCTAATGAATAAAGGTAAAAACTCTTGGAAACCATAAACTAACATGTGGACATCACCTGTGCAAAGGTTCATGCTGCTGAAATAAACTAAATTTAAAGAGGTTTTTACTAAAGAAATAACCGTTTTGTCATTCTGCACTATCTTTAAATGTTGACAAATCTTAGGGTTTTATTGCAAAAAGCATTTTTTCTTACATGCTTTTAATGTTTTTTTTTTTTAATGAACTTTAAAATGTTGGAGATGTTCCGACTGAACAGATCTGTAAGTTTAAATCTGCTGTAGTTTGTAACCAAACCGTCTCTGGACCAGATTTGATTTCTACCAATATTTTTGTGAAAAAAGACGTTAAACTCACAAACTGAACCGAGTCRTTTCAGAACGGTTCATCTAAAAGTGAACTTCAGCACCAGAAGCTAAAATGTGAAGACGGGTCAAAATGAAGCGTTCTCATGTTTCTGTCAGATGTTTTAGGTTCAGTAAATCCCAGCATGAACTGGACTCTTCCTTCCCCCCGGCTGCAGGGTCCTGGTGCCAGCCGGGTTTAAATAAGAGGATCTTTTTATTTTTATGAAACGCTCCTGTTTTTTTTTATCTTTTACAACATTTAAAGTAAATGTGAGTTTATTTATAAATGTTTTATTTATCAGGACGTTAAAAAAAATCAGGTTTAAAATAATTAAATTACCTCAGCTGAGTGATTTATTATATTTTTACAGCCTGCAGTCTTGAAATGTGATTTATCATGCAGCATGTACACTTGTTGGTCTGTTAGCAAACTATCTCATGGATCATAGATTCAAAGTTGCTAAAAGTTTTTTTTATTTTTTTGTATTTTTGTCCTCAGTTTACATCTAACTGATTAAAACTGAGTGAATTTTACTAATATGAGCTTATTTGTTCACTAAAATAATAAAGTGTAAATTTCAGGAGGCTGTAGAGCAGCAGAGTAAAGCTAGAAAAAACGGTTCAAAAGAAAGCAAAGTGGACGGGACCGGTTCCAGCAGAACCCAGGAGGACCCGGACTCTAAACGCTGCAGTGAGTCTCATCAGAAGCTGAAATGTGAAATCTCTCCTCCTGTTGGAGCTGATTTGTTTCTGTTTGTTGCAGCTGCAGGACAGGAAGCATCAGAGGAGAACAGCAGCTCCGGTCAGCACCGGCCCGGTAAAAACCCTACAGAACCAGACCCAGACTTTAGTTCTAATGTTGATTATTTTAACAGACAAACCTCCTGGTTCTGCTGACACGGCAGCTTTGATCCCCCGTACGGATCAGGTCGGTCCTGAACAGGTTTAAAGTTGTTTATGTTTGTTGGTCTTTGTTTAAAAAATGTTTGTTTCTATTTTCAGGCTGAGCAGAACCAACAAGACCCGGTTTGGTTTGATGTGGGCGTGTTTAAAACTCTTTACTGTGAGGTCACTCAGTACTTCCTGCCTGCAGAGAACCAGCAGGCTCCGGTCAGAACCAGCAACTGTAAAGAGGTGACAGCAAACAAACAAATTAAAATAAACAAATTAAAACAAAAACAAATGAATCAAAAATAAACAAATTGAAATAAACGTAAAAAACCAAATTGAAACAAATGCACTGAAACAAACAAACACACTGAAACAAA